GGGACAGGTGATCTGTCAGCCTCCTTGAGGTGTAGGCCTCAGTGCCATAGACGGAAAGGCTCAATCCTCTCCGACAAACTCCCACCCGTCTCAGGAGCCTCTGCGTTCTCACCCCACCACCCGGGCAGTTTCCAAGAGAGATCAAGCTGTCTGTAATGAATGTAAAATCACCGCCTCCGGGAAGAGAGGAAGCTGGGCACAGTGGGGTGGTGACGGTGGTTTTATTCCTCTTACTCCACAGACAACTTGCTCTCTGAGTTCCTCGACAATCTCACTCACTTGCCCGATCGTCTGACTCTTACGCTGCAGAGAGAGCAGGAAAGCAGAGCGAGGCTTCCCCCTCGCTGCAGATATACAAGGGCTAGCCGAGGGTCAGCAGTGGAGCGGAGGCAGCCCCACACGCAACACAAGTACTCCGGGAATTAAAAGTCTTGCAGTTAAATGTTTATTCTGATTATATTATTGCATGTGTGCATTTGGTGGGGTGGCACATGGGTCTTACAGTAGCCATGTGGCTCTTCAGGGTTGACAGTAATTTTGAATGGAGCTCACTGCAAAGCGAGGGCCCGGAGAATGAAAGCATGAAATCCCAACCAAAATAGCAACATCCCAGAAACAGGGCTGTGCTGACATTCCTGTAAAAACACATGTAGCTGCTGGAATGACCTTGGATCGGTCATAAGTTCTCGCAAAGCTGTTCTTTCACGGGCAGTTCTCAAGAGAGCTCTCTCAGCCCCACCAACCTCACAGGGTGCCTGTTGTGGAGAGGGAAAGGGATTGTAAGCCACTCTGAGACTTCTTCGGGTAGTGAAGGGCAGGGTATAAATCCAGTCTCCTCCTCCTCTTCCTCCTCAGGATGTAGAGCAGTCTTCCATGTTTCACTTTTATGAGCAGAACGTGCACGCATTGCCAGAGATTTTTTTGTGGATCACCAGCTGCAACGGTTAGTTCAGTTGCTGGAACACCATAGCACTCCCTTATCTCCAAAGAAGCAAATCAGGGTTAAAAAGGAATTTGTGGAAGACTCAAATATCAGTGCCATCTAGTGCTATAATCACAATGCAAAACAAGGCTGTGAATCCATTCATTCAAACAAGGGGGATTTAATGAGCATTTTTGTTACTCAACCACCTTTTCAGGCTTGTTCTTGCCTGATTCTCCTCCTCATCACAGCCTGTGTCCATCTTTCGTCCATATGGGTCCCATAATCCCCCGCATAGCCCCCCTCAGGGTGCCAAAGGGACCCTTTTCTCCAGCTTTCACAACCAAAAAAAGAAAAAGATCTATCCCCACACCCAGATTTTATCATAGGGCAGCTGCAGTGAGCCCGCTTATGTTACTATCTCCACGTGTGTTGTCAAAAATCATTGGCTTCCTTTCGGGGCTAGAAAATACATTTTTCTTTGGAAAAAGAATGCACTCTCTGTTGCCATTCAACAATAGCAGGTACTTGTGATGCTTCCACTCTCAGCATATATCTTTCCCAGCTACAGCAAGAGTTCATTTTTTTGGCCTTTCGCTGGTGCCTCCCAGTGCACCTAAGATGATAACAAACAGGTTGTGGCTACGAGCCAGGGGGGAAAAAGTGGTGTGGATCCAAACGAACACTGAGGGCCCAGGCACTGTTCCCAAGCAAAGAAAACACATAGCGGCCTCTGAAAAATGCAAGTTCTATCCAGAAGGCAGCAAACCTTTTATGAAACTTCCCTCCCCCCTGCCTTTGGCCTCATCTTAACAGGAAGCGCAATTTCAGACACAACAAATTGCAGAAGCAGGAAGCACAGCTCCTGTACCTATTTGCCCATCAACTTCACTGGGTGCCCCCACATCCTAGTATTATGGGAGAGGAAGGAAATACTCCATCCACCTTCTCCCACCTGATGCATAAATGTAGAAAGCTCCATCATGCCTCCCCCCCCCCAGCCATCTTTGTTCTAAAGCAGTGGCACTCAGAGAGCCACATTCATAGTCACTTCAACTGAAAGAACGGGATTTTATTTCCATTCCCTGGCAAAAGGCCTGCACCTCAGGGAAGCCTGCAGCTTACCCATTTCCTCTGGTAGCAGCTGTCTCAAGGTAGGAACCAACTATCAGCCTCACTTGTTCACTTTTTGAAACATGGAGCAGATGCCATATTGTGGAACGGGGCTTAGAAAGAGCCACAAGTGACTCCCAAATCCCTGAATATCAATGTTCTAAAATAAAAACTCCCAGACTCTTCAACCTTTCTGCATAACCTTCAGCCTTAAGAACCTTCAGCCTTAAGAACATAAGAGAAGCCAATGTTGGATCAGGCCAATGGCCCATCCAATCCAACACTCTGTCACAGTGGCCAAAAATACCAAGTGCCATCAGGAGGTCCACCAGTGGAGCCAGGACACTAGAAGCCCTCCCACTGTTGCCCCCCCCCCCAAGCACCAAGAATAGAGAGCATCACTTGCCCCAGAGTTCCTATCCTTGCTCATCTAGGTTGCCCTATTCTCTACTTTTTTCCACCTGTGCAATTTTGTCACTGGCCCCAGTTCCCATCCTAGCCTTTTTGTAGTGGGGCCCACAACCTGTTCTCAAAATTCTAAAAGTGCTCATAGACTCACACCATGTTTGGGAAACCCATCACTCTAGAGAGGAATGTCTCCATCCGCCATGGATTACTATTAGTTTATACCCCGTCCTATCCCATGAGTGGGCTCAGGGTGGCTTACAACACAGGATGCACAAAACTATAAAAGCGATAAAATCAATAAAGCAACAGATGGCAGAACAAATAATAACAGAAAGGACCCTTGCCTCATGTCTTCCCAGTCAGAGAAATAGTGGAACACCGGATGATTGTACCACAAGTTTTTCATGTGAATTTTGTCAAACTAGAAACAGAAGACTGGACCTAATAATCGTATTTCAAGTAGGGCAGAGGTCTGCAACCTACGGGCACAGTGCCAGATGTGGTTTGGTACAGAACCAAATCAGGCTCTCAATAAAACCAGGTGTTTAAGTTAAGGAATATTAGAGGAGTGTGATGCTAGCTTAACAGTATGTGGGTGGTAGAAAAAAAGATTTTTATGGGGCTAAAGGGCTTCTTAGAGATGCTTTATCAACAGGGAAGAGGTGAGCAACTGCCAGTAACCCAAGTACAAGGATTCATGCATGCACTAACAAGTGTGCAGAATGCCCCTGTGCATATTTATTACCTATTGTGAGATGCGTATGCCACTTATCTGTGTTTGGGCTATAGAAACTTCATGGATTATTTATCAGCCTTTAGCCATCAGTAAACTGTGTGTTTTCATAGGTGCCTGCCAATGGGGTCTTATACTGGCTCTTTGTTGATGTCTGCTCTGAATGGTGATGTAGTTTGGCTCGTTAATAAATGATTGCTAATCTCTGAAGCAGAAGAAAAAGATAACCCAGATAATAAGCCGCTGGAAAACCCACTCGATTCACCGGGCATACCAACGATAGCCATGACCTTACTGTAACAGGAAGACCGTTTAAATTGATTCACACAAGGACAACTATGTTAAACAGTAAAAAGTACATTTTATTAAACAAATTCATTTGCCTAAATAACCTAGAGTTATTAGAGTTTTAGAGTTCTCCTTAAAAAGTACTGTTAAAGCTACAAGTTTGCATTCAGTGTAAAAATCGGAGGAACGAATACAATCCCTTGGGGGGGGGAATCACTTCAGTAAGCTACTGGTAAGTCTATTTTCAACCTTACAGTGATTGTGATTTGGACATTCATCAATTGTGTGCCCTTCCCCATTAAAGTGAAGTGATTTTATAAATCATTATAAAAATTCCTCCATATATACATAGCCATTTGAAAGATTCCTATAAACCCAAGATATGACAGCTTTGATAAATATGTTTACATTGTCAATATATTACAACTGTTTGGCTGTCAAAAAAAATCATATTTAAGAGAACTACATTTTCCAAAGTTAGTGTTTTTAAATTAACCATAATCGGTGGAGATATATGGCCTACGTTAGCCACAGAGCAGCCGCTATTGCAAAATATTGAAGACCTTTCAAGGAAAATTGTGCAATGCTAGCTTTTAAGGCAGCCAATATACAAAGAGGACTGAACATTCCAAAACTGAAAGCTCGGGAAGCCCACAGTACTACAATTCATAAGGCATCACGGATGCGAGAGGTTCCCATTTGGCATTCAGCAACACCAACTTATCTACTCTTTCAGAAACCCATCTCGTGCCAGGAGTGTACGTTTTTTTGCTCTCAATAAATTCAAATTAAAACAAATACAGGGATACAATATGAGGCAGATCTCAAGTCTTGCCCTTAGAACATCAAGGGGGAACAATAAGGTGTCACATGCTAGTGTAGCCTTTGAAAAAGAAAAGGTGGTACAAGACAGTTGGGCTTTGTGGGCTATTTCCGGATTTAATTACATTCAGACCATCCATCTGATTTCTCACAGAAGCAAGAAAAGGTTGCTGAGTACAAGAGATTCAAACAGGCATCTCTCATATGGCTTTTATAAGACTGAGGTACTTACTTGCTGTAACATCCAGCAGCCCAATTCCAATGCACAAACCTTTTTACATTCATAGTTGGCTATAATGCCACGCTTATAATAACAGTAGTACTTGGTAATAAATTCAGTTTCATGCTCAGTATACCTCTCCAGTTGCCCCTTCAAAGAGACTCAGTGCAAGCTATGAGGAACCTTGAAAGCATTACTAAGGAAGATCGGCGTGAGCACCCTGTTTGGAATCAGGATTCTGGCATCTTCACATTCTACGCTTTTTTGTGTTTGGCAGTGAGTGACCTGGCAGCAGGATAATACATATGAAGGAAGTGTAATGACAGACTGGTGAGGGACAGAAGAGATTGTGAACTTAGGTTTCTGAATACCAAATTACTAGACAGTAGCAGGTATTCATTTGCATATTAAGCGACACACCCTTAATGTAGCTTACAGTAGCTCCTGTAAGAAGAGCTCTGTAAGCTCTTGGAGGATTGGCTACATTAGGGGTGTGTGGCCTAATGTGCAAAGGAGTTCCTGCTACATAAAGAGCCCTGATTGACTGCTTCCTTATCATTCTATGAGCGCCAATTTCCACAGAATGAGATGTCTACCAGAGGTAGGATGCATGAATCAAAGAAAGAAAAGGACTAATGGTTTGGCAGCTGATATTAAAGGGGTGATGACGTCGAAATAAGTAGCAGAATTTTTAAAAAAGGAAACTAAAGATATGCAAGCAATATTACCAGTCTTCCATGCAATTTAAGATGAAGACTAATACTAGCCCAGGTCCCAATTTTTGTGAGTGTTTTCTGCCACTTTCTGCACAGAAGGTCCTTCAGAAGTCTGAGAAGTCTTTCTGCAGTTACGGAGCAACTAAAACCCACCTTCTGAATACAACTATGCGCCTCCCATTCCTACTACAAGGAACTTTGATTCAACTATGCTCGATCTAAACTGATCTGGAAAAATATTGGGGTTTCTAAAAGAAAATACTCCAGCGCTAAAAATTCACAAGGCAGCTTTAGCCAGGAGGGAAAGCCCACCACTAAAAACCAATTGTTTTAACAGGCTGGTAGACTGAAAAGTGTCAGTATGTTTATTTGGGCAATTAAAAAAAAAACTAAACTAGCTTCATGTCAGACATCAACTAGCTTCATGTCAATCATCACCTATTTCAACAAAGTCATCATCTCTCCTGGCCAAGTCTTCCTCACTTCCCAAGTCCTTCCAAATACTAGTAGGCAGGACTGGCTTGAAGGAATGTCTTTGAAGCAGAGCAAATGGAAATAAAGATGACAAGCGAGCAGGATTTCTGGTTAAGGCAGAAGTTTCCATTTCTGAAGACACAGCCTCACTGTGTTTTTCATCCACCTTCTTCTGCAAGCTCTGTACGTCTTCCATCGTGTCCAAGATTATAGTTGCAGTGGCAACTGTGCCACCACCAGGAAGCTGAGCTTCAGGGATCCAGCGTAAATATCTCTGTGCCCACACTCTGATTCCTGGCCCTTCGAGGCGGGGCAGGAGGATCCCATGCAAGTCGACAGGTTTATAGTGCCAGTTGTCATAGAACTCTCTAGAGGTACTTTGAAGTTCGTCAGAAGACGTTATCAGCCTGCTGATTCTTTTGCCCAGAATGTTTTTAATTAATTGATCAGTTTCTTCCTTAAAAAAACCTCTTTTGGGAGGAGGTTTGCTTTGCGTCAGGGGCAAAGAAAGCTGCCGTTGATGCTTAAAAAAAAAGAAGAGGGGAGTGGTTTAAGACAAGCTGCAATTGACTTCACACAGTTCTAGAATGTCTTACCTATGAGAGGTCCAAACAGTGAAACCATACCAGGAGACTCTTCACCAAGACACTAAACAGGTTGGACTACTGTAATTCGCTCTACGTAGGCCTGCCCTCGTGCCTGACCTGAAAGCTCCAACTGGTCCAAAATGCAGCCGTGCGGGTCCTTACTGGTACCCCTCGGACAGCACACATTCAACCAGTGTTGCGCCAGTTGCATTGGTTTCTAGTGCAGCACCGGATCAGGTTCAAGGTTCTGGTTTTGACCTTTAAGGCCCTTAGCAGTGGGGGACCTAGATATCTTCAAGACTGCCTCTCCCAGTATGCCTCTGGAAGAGCACTACCTCAGGAAATAAGAACTTTCTCGTAGTCCCCAGCCCAAGAGAAGTCCAGCTGTCCTCGACTAGGACCAGGGCTTTCTCAGTCCTGGCTCCCACCTGGTGGACCACTCTGCCGGAAGACATCTATGCCCTGAGGGAGTTGTTACCTTTCCGCAGGGCATGCAAGGTAGAGATGTTCCGCTGGGTTTTCGGCTGAGGACAGTGATGGGGTGTCTTTGGCACTCTTATATAATTCACCATCCCTTGTAAAAAAAAAAAACCAACCTGGAGGCTGGGGAGTGTGACTTCCTTCTGTTATCTTATATACTGTATGTATGGTCTTTCTATTTATTGGTAATTATTGGATTATTTTAACTTAGTTTTAAATTGAGATTTGCATATTATTTTGTTGTAAGCCACCCTGAGCCTATTTCCAGGGAAGGGCGGCCTAGTAAATCTAGTTTAATAAATACATTTAAGATGAAGCTGCTTATCCCAATAAAGTGGGAAGACTAGCCACCTTATATGCAATGTACTTCACTACTTGACTATCTACTCTTTAGTAGTGTAGTGTGTGTACTTTTGTTAATGCTACTTTTCATCAGGTCAATCTGCATTAGAATGAATTCTTTGCCCAACAAGACTATGAAGTGTCAAGAAGACAACATCCCTCCCCCAGATCAAATAGAGAAACTTACTTGCCATTTCAAATAAACTTCCTGGACTGGATTTGGTAATTACTTGTGCAATCAACTAGAGCATTCAATGACAATGCAGATGCTTATTATTCAGGTATTTTTGTTGGCGTACTGGTAAACCAGGTTAAGAACTATCTATTCCATGTCTTGCAGAAAGCACATTTTCCGTCAACTGGTAAACTTATCACGGTAACAAGCTGTTTTTTACAGCAAGTTCTACCAGTTAACAGCACAACCAACTACAAGTGCCAGTTTATATGGAAATTGTTTGCATGCACACACATACACATAGTCCCAACACATTTATGGTGGTTGTTACTTAAAATTACCCCAAGAGATTAAAACAGCATGCAAGTTCACAACTTAAACATCAGTATCTGTTTTACACAGCAAACTAACTGGATACATCTAATCGTCTTAGGGTAGCAAGCATTCAAATGTAATATCCGCCCTGTGCAAGTGATGTGGAACACATTCAGTTTCACAGAGTTTTGTTCTTTCATTCTGTTCCATGCTTCTTTTAAGTAACTCAAGGCAGTATCTGTGGTTTTCTTCCCTCTCAATTTTATCTTCAACACACCTATGAGAAAGTTTAAGCTGACACTGTGTGACTGGCCAAAGGATACCTAGTGGAGGTCCTAGTCCAACACGAAATACTACATTCATCATTACTTGCCTGAATAAGGCCTAACAGGTATAACAAAGGGTTCAGTTCTGCTACACCAGCCTTCTGTGCAGGAGTCAACAGGAATACACAAGGCTGGGTTTGTTCTTTAAATGTACATTCAGAAATATTCAGAAATATTGTTAATTTTAATCTTGCTCAATCTCAGCACACCAAGCATTTCAGTCTAATTTAAGCTTACACATTTAACTGGGCGGGACAATGGCATTTGTCAGCTACTTTGACAGAAGTCTCTGATCAACATCTAGGAACAACAGTTTAGAAGAAGAGAACGCCTTACCTTGAACCTTGTGGTTTTCCTCTGATTTTTATCTAATTTTGGTTTTTCTGCATAAAGGGGGTTATTAAGCAAAGCCAGGGCTTCAGGTTCAAACTGCATAGACCAATCCCAAACGGAAAGGAAGCTAAGAGGACCAATTTCTGCATCATAGCTTCCGCCAGCCTGTTAGGGAGAAAGAGTTCAGAATTAAGACAGACCAGAAATGCTGAATTTCACAGCAAATAAATATCTGTATTCAAGGAGCTTAAGGTTATCTAGAAAGCCTACTAGAGCCACATAATGCTGTATGTTTTATAAACTGATGTGACCCGCTCTGAGCCAGTTCCGGGAGAGCAGTTTATAAATACAGTGAAATAAACAGATAAATAATCCCCCCCCCCCAGGTATCCTAGGACAGCATGCTTGGGTTCTTCCTAATTTTATCCTCAACCACCCTGTGAGGAAGACTCGGCTGGGAGAGAGAACTTGGCCCAGGTCTCCCTTACTGCAATACAGAAAAAGGATGCTGCAGACCAGCCATTAAACTAAAGGCCAAGAATACCATTCCATTTTGATCTACAATGATGTGTTTTCTCTGGAAGCTTACTAGATAGTAAAAGTGCAGCGTGGCATTTCCATAGATATACTAAATAATCCACTTTCAATCCACACACTAAACAACCCACTTTCAATCCACTTTCCAACTGGATTTTTACTGTGTAAATCCAGTTGGAAAGTGCATTGAAAGTGGACTGAAAGTGGATTATTTAGTGCGTGTGACCGCAGCCTCATACCACCTCTGAAATGTGTGTTGAAACCCATCCCGGGAGTCCATCTTGGGTCAGAAAGGCAGGGTATAAATACTGTAAATACAGCAACTAAAGTCACTGCCATCACAAACAAGCAACTGATAGCTTTCCCAAAGGCTGGACTAAAAAAATGGGGGGGGGCTTTGCATACTAACAAGTAGCCTGTGCTGTACAGGTACAGCCTGAAGAAAAACCACTCCGATCTTCACAAGAACGGCCAGTCGCTCTTGAAGGCTTTGGAGAGATGGCAGCTGCCAATGCCTTAGGAAGCTCAAGACGTCTGGGCAAGAGAAGACTGTTCACTGCCAACTATAGTGAAATCTATGTGTAATACACAATTCTGCATAAGCAAAGGATTTGAATTTTTTTTGTAAAGGAAGCTAACAAAATAGAGATGAATTCCGGAGACTTTATGGCTTCAAGCGCAGACAAAGTACACAGGCAATGCCTGATGAAATATAAGACAGCAGACCGGGACAGGGAGCGTGTCCTGCCCAATTGCGTCAACTGTAGCTATGAGGAAGTACAAAAGCACATTAACTTCTTGTGTGTGTTTCACAGCTAAGCTTTTTATTGGCACTTACGGTGGAATTGCCTTTGGTTTTATGACCCTTTCAACAGCACCCAAGAAACTTCTGCAATTCCCTCCGATTCAAAACATTCCATCTTACCACAGCAGTATCTTTTTGATGTTGACAATTGAAGAAGAAAGTGCTGAATACAGGTATGTACAAGCAATCCGACAAGACGGTTAAGT